TATTGTGACCGACTTTTCTACGAGTCGGACGACAAGATTGGTCGTTAACCGTCACGACAGTCCGGCGGAACACATAGATTTACTTAACTCGCAGTTACGCGGCAACCGAAAACGCGAAGTTGGGCGCCAGGCACGAGCGGGCGTGCCACCCTTCGAAGTATTGCACGGAACCTCGGTAGAGGGGCGGTTCGCAGGGTGTGGAGAAAGTTGGAAGAGCAAGGGCGAGATTGAATACTCGAAATTTTCTGTAACAAGGATTAACAAATATATTTGCGTGTGCTGGAATATACAGGCGTTTCTCTTGACCGCGACTAACGCCGCGGCAACCGTCGGTGGTATCGAGACTCGTCCGGGAACGCTCCCGGAGATGGCGGGTGTACAAGCCTTTATTCTTGCGCTACTTACAATCCGCGAAATATCCGAGCACTATACGCGAGTACAAATGACGCACAAATGACCCGGCTGTGGCAAGGCGAGCGCAACTTCTCTACTCAATTCGCGTCACTTTATGCCGGGCGGATGGCGCGACACGCGGACTCTACACACGAACATACGATTACGCGGACAACGAAACTTCAATAGCGCGATCCGCCCGACAATGAAACCGGCGGCTGATAATATTACTGTTCAACGTTCGTCTCACCAAGAGCGGCAACTATGAAAGATGTTCTCAAAAATGCGTTCCGGCACTCGGCAACTTAGCGGGATCCTGCGTCCTTTCCCACACGCGGCCACAGCACAAGTATCGCTCGACGGTCCTTCCGGCAGCACGCAGGCAGCGAGGTGTCACGCGATCGGCTGATTACGCGCCGATTGGCCCTTGCCCTGCGAGCGCGACGCCCGCGAATCGCGGCGCCACACGTGATCAGCTGGCCCGCAACCGGTAGCGCGTACTTCAAATTTGGCTCGCGACCCTCTTCCTTCTTTGGCGCCAATTCTGCTCGTCCGCCTTGTCTCAATATCTTTCGCCATTGGCAACCCGATCCTCGACCGATCGTGAGAGTCCATTGCCAATGTAGTAGGCTTTCCGCCCGGATTGCTGAAAGTAATCGGCGGCAGTAAAGAGTTCGTCACAGAGACTATTGAGACTGATAACGTTCGTATGAACTATGACTGACCTGCGTGCTCCGCTTGTCCCGCGATGAGCCAGTCGTTCCAATGCCGGTGTCTCTCTCCTTCTCGCTGCTTGGTGCAGACGATTCCTTACACGCGCGTTTCGGCTATGCCGCCGATCTCGACCTATGGTTACGCTCGTGAGGGGAGAAAAAGTTAAATAAAACGCGCGACAATATAGCGAAAAACGCAATGCGCGCGGATACGCTCGCCTCCCTAAATTGGGGAGGACGCAGGATCCAAGACCGCGCTTCCTCGGTCGGGCGTTATGGCCCTTAATTGTGACGGACGGTCAAAAAAACGTCACGTCACAATATATATATATATATTTTTTTTTATTCGATGTAATATCGTAAAATACCTTGTCAAGAAGTCACCAACTTCACGAGTGTTGCGCACCGCAAAAGTATACTCTAACATATTTAAGGGGAATATAAGGTCGTGGGAGCACGACGCATTAGTCCAATCTAACGAAAATACTGTAGCGTAATCTCTCTGTGAAAATATTGAGTTGTTTTTATTCATTTCCATTATTATGAATATTATATTTTTATATTACTTGTACAATATAAGATTTCGAAATTACGCAGAGAAATTCTGCGTATTAATTTTATTCTTATAAGTATAAGAAATATTTACCTTTAACAATAAGGAGGCTAAAAAGGAGGAGCTAGAAAAATAAATACTAGAATAAATATTGGTTGAATTTAAAAGAAAGCCATGAGCCATAAAAAAACTGGTTTCGAGGAATCGAAGAGATCGCAGGATTCGTTTACTTGGACAAATTTGCCTTTAGGAATATCACTGTGAAAAATGCAAACGTAAGCAGTAAAAAAAATAAATTTGCAGTGAAAACTCATACGTATGTGTTTTACCTCGTGTACAAAATCATCGAAACCGATTTGACACCGAAGATACAACTTGATGGATTTACTGTAAAGTTGTCTATATTGTGGAAAACGCATAATTCGTTTGCATTACAGAAGTGTATATATTGTGTAAGAAAAATTGATAATATTATAATAAAGTGCAATGGTCCAAAACAAGTTATGTGAAAAAAATTATAGATGATCTACAGTATTCAGGAGAATTTGACAATACCACAGTATGCAATCATTTTGCTAAAAGCTCTACAAAAATTGATATACTGACAAATGTAAATTATTTAAATTGACAAACGTACAGATGTGAAATCATATCTCATAATAACAACATGATTGTAATAAATTAATATAATTGTGTGTCGTTACGTATTAATTTATTTTTATTTCTTGTAATATCTGACAATAAAGAGCAAGATAAAATAAGTGTAACGTTGACAAATATTTTTTGCACATATCCATTTTTGATATTACAGTATGTCAAATTATTTTTATTGTCCAAAATTAAAAAGAAGATAATTAGAATTTTAAAACTTCGAGAAATTGTAAACTTTCTTTGTCTTTAGAAAGTTTTCTATTTTAGAAAGCAGAAAATGTTATTTAAAAACTTGAATCAATAAATTTACTGATTTACAACATTAGTGAATTATTTAAAATTTTTAATTGTTTCAAAATTTTCATTGTCTCATGATTGTCTAAAAGTTTTACATTTTTAAAATAATTTTAAGTGCTTTCTATTAAGAATATCTTCAAAAATTTACTTTAAAAATTAGAATTGACAGTTGCAGGCTCTCGTTTAAAAAATGTATATAAATAACCCAAAACTTCTAAGAAATCAAATCACTTCACGAATTTTATCAATTTTAATTGCTAATTGCATAAATTTTAATTGCATTTGCTATTAAAATTGAAGGTGTAATTTTTATATAATTGGAGATGTCCGCACTGCAAAGCTAGTTTTCAATTTTTTCAAATCTTCTTTTCTTTATGTTAAACAAAACTCTTTTTGATACCAGCTAAAAACGCAAGATCTTTTTAAAAAGAGAATTCTAAGCATTTTTCTTTAATCTTTGAAAAAATGGCACTAGCTTCATAGAGAAGTATATAGTATTTTTTTGATAGAAGCTCGGTTGATAATATAAGAATATTCTTAGACAATTGATTTTTAAAAGTATACTAACTAATATACTTTGAAGTTGTCACTTCATGACTTGTCATCTGCAAAAAGAGGTCAATATAAATATGTACACAATACTCTCAAACATATATTACTTAAAATATATATTAAATAATTAAAAGAACTTTAAGAAAGATGATAATAAAAAAAGATGTAAATGCTATATTGCGCATCTATGATTAAAACTATTTATTTTCTCTTTGCGGTCTACACTATGTAAACGGTTTTACAAATGAACAATGATCAAGAGTTCTGCATTATATTTAAAAATTATATCGACAAAAGGCTGACACATATTAAAAAATATGTATTAAATTTATAAAAATTCTCAAAATATAGTTTGCTGATTATAATCGTGTACATGATATGCACATTTGCAATTCTACAACGAACTGAATATGGATACAGTATCACGTATAATTCTCTAATCGCACATTTGTCAATAAAAGTGCTTTCTGAATACGGACCTTAGAGAATTATATGTGATACCGTATGATACCGTATTCATATTCAGTTCGTTGTAGAATTGCAATGCTTAAATAGGAGGAGTTTTCCGAAGTTTATGTAATACTAATTGATTTTAAAGGAATGCAATGTGATGCGATTTATCTGTAATCGTTTTCTATGTGCATTGAAAATCGTACAGATCAAAAAAAATAAAGATTCTGAAAAAAACTACGCTTACCGTATTATCATTATTGCTCGTGGTCGCCGTATCAAAGAGGCAGAGCAGCAGGAGAAATAATGCGATTGTGACCAGCTGCATTGAGGACGAGGTGAAAAGGCAGATTTTCGAGCTTATTTGCAAAATATGTCCTTTGTAAAAAATAAAATTGAGAATGGAAAATACCAAAGTTGGGTAGTGGCTAGTTAAAAAGATAAAAGTTAAGTTAAAAAGTTAAATAATTTTAACTTAACTTAGTTACATTTTAGGCTCTTAACTTTTAACTTAATTTAGTTATATTTTATCGGTAACTATTAACTTTTGTTCTAACTTTCTTGAATTTTTAGTGCTTCTTGTAAATCCAAAATAAAATACATGTCTAGGTTAGTGTCTTTAAACTTAAATTTGAGAACACACATTAAGGCAATTGTAATAATATAATAAATATAATCTGACCGCGGGAAGGAATCACTGTTCGCGGAACTTCTGTGCATTAAATCACGTTGGAAGAAGTCCTTCGAAATCGGTCCTCTTTTCGCGGCTCGACAAAAATAAGTATAACAAATATATACTTTATTTAAAAATCCTAAAATTATAAAATGAAAAAAATTTAACTCTTACTTTTTAATTACTTTTTTTTATTAACTTAACTTTTAACTCAATTAATTTTAGTACAGATT